TATTTATTTCGATACTTTTTCTTGTCCAAATCAAATATATAGTTGGAAAAAAACAATAGTTAGAAGAATTTAATCGATAAAAGAGAAATTCAAAGTGATGTTACAGTCTTGTCAAAGAAAAATATGATATTCCCAAGGGTTTTGATTGAAGAAGAAAGCACGTGTATTTATACGATGAGCAATGGTTATTTCTTCGATTATTTCCATCTCTGCAATATAATATATCCTAAGAAAATATCTATGTCATTTACTTTTGTTCATAGCTTGAAGAGAGCACATTTCGATAGAAGTTTAAAGAGCAGAAGAAAAATAAATTATAATAACGAAAACGAAAGAAAAGAGGAGAATACTAGAAGAAAATACCATGTGACCATATATGTGGTTGACGTAACGAAAGAATAATTTATTTATTTACTTACAAGTGGTATAGACTGAATTCTCCTTCATATCGAAATAATTAAAAAAATTACAAGTTTGAAAATTTGATTCTTTGAAATAGTTTCATATTGGTAAGTGAATCTTTTGAAATAATATTAAAAAATGAGCAAAAAAGAATATTACACGATAACTATCTTGAGAATGAGAGTGATGATGATGATAACAGTATAATACTGAATTAAAATTAACATGACGATACAGTTGGATGCATAAGAGATTAATATATCATCTATTTCGAGGGTATTGTTTGGATTTTTATTTGAAATTAAAAAAACAAAAAATTCGTTTTCGATTTCTTCTACTATGGAACAATCTTTTTTAATGTCATTGAGTTATATTAACTTAATCTATTTATAGAAGAAAATATTCGTTTCTTTTAAAAATTTATATTCAAAGACGTGGCAATGGCAAACAATACAACACGATGTTCTACATGTAATAAAAATAAAATAACATATCCTTGTGAAGGATGTTCACAAAAATTTTGTTTAATGGATTTAACAGAACATCGTCAAATATTAAACAATGAATTACATCATATCGCCAATGAATATGATCAATTTAAACAAACAATTAATGAACAAAAACAAAATCCACAAAATCATTCATTAATAGACCAAGTTAATCAATGGGAAATAAAATCAATTGAAAACATTCAACAAAAAGCAAAAGAGTATCGAGAAATCCTCATTAAATCATCTCAAACATGTATTAATAGTATTGAAATGAAATTTAATGATTTACGTAAACAAATAAAAAAACTTCAAAAAGAAAATGAATTTAATGAAATTAATTTAAATTATTTAAGAAATGAATTAATAAAAATGACAAAAGAATTAAATAATCCATCAAATATGTTTATTCACCAAATTTACAACCGCTCATTAATCATATTTCATTCATTTTACCGAAAAGTAAGTTATTAAGAAATAATTTCTAGAAGATTAATTCTCGTTTTTTATGAATCTATTTTAAAAAAACTATAAAAACAATTCAAAATACTATTGATTTGTTTGTTAATTAAATTAATAATAAAAACAGTATTCATAGAAATAGAGAATTCAATTCGTATATAAAAAAAGAATGATAAAATATGAAATAATATTAAATTAAAAAATTAATATTTTTCCAGTGTTTGAAAAGATATATTTGATTGATAAAATCAGAATTGAATTATTTTCACATTTTTATTTAACAAAAAATAAATCAGCAAAATCTTTTCCCTTCAAAATTTCGATTCGAACAAAACTAAATTTCAAATCCTTTTTTCTTTTCCAAATACAAAACTTCAAAATATTTCATTTTCTTTTTCAGTAGAATTTTTTCAACACACATTTTTATCAATATTCTATACAAAATTTGCTTCTTTTTCTTT